GGCGCGGCTGAAGCCGTCCCTATGCGTGCCACCGTGCCCATCGTGTTTGGCACTTTTATGGGAGTGCAACCCGAATAACGCCTGCCTTACTCTGATCTGGCCCCCATCTTAGTCCAACGCATCTACCCGTCGTAGGGACACTTCCTCTGACCACCGACCTTGTCAAGTGCGAGCGCGTATTTAACCGGGCGAATTAGAACTGAATACTCAGTTGACTCACGTGCGACCGTACTCTGGGCTTGCTGACTATCCGCGCACTAGCACACTGCAGACAGGCTATTTAACTCAGTCAGCCATTGCGTACAATCCCATCAGTAGGCTCGACTGGTCTATACCAGAGGGAAGAGCGGAGGACCGACAAATCTGCGCGCTTTTCTCTGTACTAAATCTGACGCACTAATAGTAAATGGCTTGGAGGGCTTCATACTGATAGGATAACGCGGCCTCTAGGTGGGGAGTGGTTAGGAGCCACTAGAGGACTGGGAGTCAGAGTGTAGCCAGTTGAGTGAAAGTTGGTCTGTCACGAACGACGACGTCATCCGCGGAGGGTGACCTCACTGGTACCTGACGTGTAAGTTACTTTATAGAGGCAGACTTGCACAGCATCAATCGCACTCTCTCCATCGCTGGTCCACCTCGCAAGACAGTGTCAAAAGGACCAGGGGTGGACGCGTGTGCAGAGGTAGACAAAGTTAAACGCACGTCACGCATGACCGGATCCCTACAGTATGTACTATGATGACGGCTTGGATCTCATCCGATGAGAGTGTTATACAGTTCACATTAAGAAGGAGCCATTGCGGCCGGACTCACAGTCCCGAAAAACACTGAGTTATTCGGTCATTTTACAATACGAGGCTAGTCCCTTCTTATGTTTAAACAACTCAGTCCTTTTTGACGCCCTTCCCTCTATGATCCGGCTGTGTGTTTTTGTTTTGTTTTTTTTAGCTACACCGTGGACCTCCTCAAGGATAAGATAGAAGACTTGTCTGAGTCCAACCTCTACAACCTGAGATGTGCTAATGAGCGCAAGAAGGTAGGTCTCCTGTATATCGTGTTTTTGCTTTTCCAAATGAATCACAAAGTCGTTCTCGTCGTCGTTAGAGTCGTTATTTCTGATTGTGTAAGCAGTGTCAACACTTATTATCTCATTGGGTGGCGTCTGCCGACTGCTTTCAGCTTCATACTTGTCAGAGCATGTAGCACTGCCTCAGTTGCGGCTTGGCTGCTGCGCTATATGCCTGGCGCCAATATTCGCAGTAAGGAGGGCTCTGACCATGCTCATGTGACGTGATATTTCTATTGCCACAAAGCTCCACGTGTACCTTGCATCTGTGTGGTCTGTTCTTCTATACGGCTGCGAATGCTGGGCTATGCTGGTGGAAGGTATTTTAACACTACTGCTTGAGGATCATCCTTCGAGTGAGGTACACCGTCTTCGTCTCAAATGAGACAGTCCGCACCCGCTGCGACAAAACCACAAGGATATCCCAGGCCATCCAAGAAAGACGACTGAGGTGGTTTGGACACAGTCCTTGTCGTCAACCTCACGGGCTCAGTGTTACTGCCCTCGGTCTGAAACACTTACCTAATTGGAAACGTCGATGTGGGGGTCAGTTTAAGACCTGGTTGGACTCAGTCCGTCAGGACATGGAGGTGGTATTCAGTCTCCGGCGCTGGCGAAGGGAATGTAGTGAACTGTTCAGATCTGCTGCCACGGATCGTCGCCCATGGAGAAGTGCCGTCCGGGACAGCATCGAGGCCGGCTAGATCAGCCATGGTCGCAGCCGCAGTCCAGCAGTCCAGTCTAGGCTGTCTCGGAGAGTTTGTATGGCTATCTCCAACTGCCTTGGTACAGTGCTGAAGGCAGGGCTCGATTTGAGTAGTCATCATCATCATTTGGAACCCATCGGTCAGCTCTGAAGCAGACTTACCAACGCGTCTCTAAGGGCAGGCTAGGTCGCGGCGGATTGTACTTTCTAGTGATCATATCCGACTAGTTGGTAATGCCGCACGGACAAAGGCCAAGTAGACAGTGGAATGGCCATAAGTCATATCAAATGGTGCACCCTTCGAGGCCCAAACCTGTGATTTGTATTGGCTCTCACCCACTGCGTCACGAGTGCGTTATCTTGGCGGTTTCGGTCGGGATTATTAACTTCGTTGGATGGACCTTCAC